GGCTAAAGTGTATTGGATGTGTCCCGTATAAAACACCAACCTACCACCAACAACCGAATGGAATTGCAAAAAGAATTGTGCAGACTATGAAAATTGGGACTAAAAGCATTTTCCCCATCTAATGATAATATAGTTACTTACCAAGATTACTGTTAAGCTATAGGACAATTCTACATGTCGGCAGACTACAAAGTTTCTGCTCATTAATGGGTAGACAGATTAGAGCTCCCATAACGATGACATTATCAACAAGTGAAAGCGTATGGTATTAAAAAAAAAAGACGATTTAATCCAGGGAAGGCGAATTTTTGAGTACAGAAAGGACACAACCCAACAATACTAACTGAAAATGGACAAAATGTACTAGTCCATGCGGATCAATTCAGAAGCAGAATGGAAGGCAAGGATATAGAAATGGACGAAGAGTCTGAAGCTGAAAAACACGAAGAGGAGGAGAGGCCTAATGAATCCAGTAATGGAACAGAACGATCTATGGATGTTAATGACCAGAAATCTAACCAGGAGGAGGAAGAGGAAAATGAAATGAGACCTATAAGAAGAAATCAAGATTCACACAGTTTAGATTAACAAGAATAATTAAAAGTTGTCAAAGATCAACAGGGGGGCATGAGGTCATTTCGGTTCAGGGAGTTTAGTATTGTATGTAAATGAGGTAAGGCTATATACACAGCGAATGCCACTACAGCTTTCAGCTGTTGACCTGACAACGTCTATTCCAGAGAGTACTCTACTTCCTAATAGTAAAAACAGTTAATATAAATATTCGAAAGACTTATCTTTCGACTTTCAGTTTCGCAGATACACCGTTTTCAGCAACAGGAAAATATTAATGAATTCAATAGTCGGACGAGACGTATTTTGAAAATTTATCTATGTGTATCTCTCTCTCTCTCTCTCTCTCTCTCACTCTCTCTGTTACTCTCTTCTTTCTCTCTCTGTCTATCTCTGTCTGTCAATCTTTGCACACACACACACACACACACACACACACACACACACACACACATATATATATATATATATATATATATATATATATATATATATATATATGAAAAAATTACTTGTTATACGTTTCGTCCTGTAGGACTAAATTTGTCCGAGGAAGTCCTAAAGGATAAAACGCTTCACAAGTAAACGTTTTCCACTTTGTCATACAATTTGCCCAGTACTTTTGTGGATATATAAAAATATATATCTTTATCTATTTATATATATATATATATATATATATATATATATATATATATATATATATATATATATATATTGCGAATATTCCGTAGCATGTCTCATTTAGTAATTTAGAAAAGTTTTGTCTTCATCTGTCTACTTATTTTCAATAGGATCCTCTCATATTCACACACAAGTTTCTTGGTATCCTTATTAAAGGAAGGGAGTTAATTGCTATACTTTTTTTTTTTTTAAAAAATCACATACAGATATCTCAAATTTAGTTACCTCCTTAGAGGTTTCGAACGTGAAATTTAAACCGTACAATACATAACCTTGGCGTTTTTCTCATCACAGTTGAAAAAATTTAACTTTCAGATGAAAACAACAATTTTGTCTTCGAAAATCAGCACACAGATGATGACATTTTGGTTATAAATGAATATGTATCAACACAGTAATTTTCTCCCTTCTTTTAATAATGATACTAGGAAGCTGGTTCTTGAATATTAGAGGATCCTTTTGAAAATAATTAAAAAGAAAAAAAAAACTGCTCCAAATTATTCAATGAGTCGTGTCTTAAATAAGTCATGTCTTAATCTCCGTGTGTATATACATATATATACACACACACACACACACACACATATATATATATATATATATATATATATATATATATATGGAGCATCTGAATTGTAGTATCGGAGTTGGACCGAATGACAAGCAGTACAACATTGCGTTTCCAAATTTCTGATGCGTCATGGGGCTCTTTTTCTTAGAAAGGGTGCCCAACTGACCCAACTGTACTGTGCATTCGACAAAAGGAAAAAAAAACAATCAACATGCATGCCTGAAATTAAAAATATAAAGTGTCGATAATTTTCACATAGCACCCTGTATATATACGTTCTAGTCATCTGCATATCGCGAGAGCGGGAAAATCAAGTAATGATTCGAGCTCTCCTTTGAAAGGAGTTAACGTTATGAAGAGTACTTTACTTTGCCTAGGTAATATAGGCGTTGAGCACTTTTCTTTATTGAGTAGGTACGTGTTTTCCTTTAGGTCCTTCTCTTATTTATATCCTTGTTCGAGATTTTCTGTTGATTAAGGTCTTATGTCTTTTACCAAGTTATCTGTTGGTTACACCAAAGTCGCTGGTTTTTCATTAATAACATATATATATATATATATATATATATATATATATATATATATATATATATATATATATATATATATATACAGAGAGAGAGACAGAGCAGATGAGAGACTATATGTGTGCAATGTGAATACACCGTTAAAATTAGACATGTGTGTACTAAATCAAGAGTCCTTCTCCGGGATACACTTGCTTGCTTGCTTAGAAATCTATTTACGTATTTCCGCTTCTGTCCACACTTCAAGGCATCCATCTTGACCTTCTTGCAGAAACAAGTGGGTGGAACGAACCCCTAACAATGCAAAACACTTTAAAAGCTCTTCACAAAACAAGAACTGAACGCGTTTCCCACATCTACATGGAAGCTGGCGAGATGTGGCCGACAAGAAAGTAAATTTTGTTGTCAGCTGGCAAGTTGGATTCTTCAACATTCTTCTCAATAAACATAGTACCCGGCATGAGAGCACGCTCTTACGAGGGTGAGTAGCTTTTATATACAGGGTGGAATACATAAATTGTAATCTAAAATAACACTGACTCCTCACTTCAACAGTAATATAATATTTATCAAACTTTGACAAAAATATCTTGAAATATTAGAGAGTGAATTTATTTCCATAAAATCGCCTTTCGCTTCAACCACGGCTTCCAAACAACTTCAGAATCTCCAGCATCGCTACTGAATGATCGCCTTCTTTAATTTAGTGAATGCTGCCATAATCCTTGCTTTCAGTTTATCTTTGGTCTTTTACTCCTCCACCCCACACATAATAATCACGAGGGTTGCATACTGCGGAGTTAGGTGGCCAGATGTAATGGTTGATGTGGTCAAAGAAATTGTATGATTTCCATAACCGGGTTCTATTGCTTGTGTCACATGATGCAGAGTTGTGTTGTCAGATGTAGTCTCTTCCTGCAGACACCATCTTGATCTAAGGCCTCACCACCTGCTCAAGGGACTTGATGTCAGCCTCCGTGTTGAGTCAGAAACCCCTCACAAACAAATTCAGGAGTTTTTTTTCCGATCTGCCGTACCTTTGCAAACATCATTAGACTCATCACTCTCTTTTCAAATCCTCTGCACTGTCCTCAGATTGATATCAAATACTCTAAAATGTTCGTATTGGTGCTTCCGGCGCGAATGCCAAGCATTACAGTATGCCGTTTCCAGATTTCTGGCCAAGTTAATTGCGTCATTGTGCTCTTTTTCTCACAGACGGTGCTAACAGACCCTAATATACTGTGCAAAACAAATGTATGCGTGGACCTATTTTAACAATAATTTTAACTATTGACTAGTATCATGGCCTGGCGTTGCCCGTGCTTGATTCAAAAATCGTACGACTCATACAGCAATCGCTATCACTTGACTTAAAATATTTTTGCCCTTCCTTGCCTTTAAAGGAGAGCCCTTTGCCGTGTTGATGTTGCTACATGCCTTACTTCTTGCCTATCTCCCACTGCGAATTTTTTCTAAGCTCTATACTAAACATTAAATCTGTTACGAAAAAAGAGCTAAACAAAATGAACAGAAAACGATCAGCTTTAAAAAAGGACTCGTAACTGGAAAAACCGAATGAAAAAAAGAATGTTAACAACAAATACTTTTTCACACCCAACCCACTTCTGCGAAATCAGAATCAACGTTGAGTTTAAGCAAGCGAATGAGCCAATTGGAGTAAAGTGCCATGCAGATTTAAATTTTTCCCACTTGTGACGAATGCAGCTATCGATTTTTTTGCATGATAGCATGCTTGTTAACATTTGTATCAGTCAGCTGTTGGCTCTCACGCTGGCCAATAGAATATTCCTCCCTATTCGTAGCAGCCAGCTATAGGCTCTCACTCTGTCCAGTAGAAAATAGCCGCAAACTACATGAAAACTGCCGTAGAAGCATGAAAAAATCGATTATTTTCACTATCGATGGGAGTTGGGAAATGCCTTTCCGTTAACTAGGAGCATGTGCATGTAAATTTTGGTGCAAATCCGTCGAAAATTGCGGCCATGCATTCGTTACACACACACACACACACACACACACACACACACACACATCCTGCCTTTTATAGATATTGATATCAGATAAGAGTTGTAAACCGCTGAGTGTTTAGATATTTATGAATATGTTTGGCGCCCTGCTTGACATCTATATATATATTTAGATATGATAAGGCTATGTAAATGCACGACTCGAGTTTTATGTTAATGTTTTGGTTTTGCAGCAACTCGTGGTGTTAACAATAACTATTACTGACGCTGCCTATCCTATGCTCAATTTCATTATCGCCTATACTAAATTACTACTGTACTGTACTGATGCGGCATTCACCCTGGGCGGATTGAGCCGGCTGTTGTGAGAAGATTCTTGGGATAAATTACAGAAGTAGGGTACCCAGGCCTACTCAGATAACGTTCTTGCTTGCCGCGGGGTTCCCACAGACGCAGAGACAGGAACGACCAGAAGCCGCCGGTTACCGATGCAGACGCTCCTTGGATTTTCACCAGAGCCCTTGTTAGCCGGCGTGTGTGTCAGACCTGTCCGCCTTGGGTGGCCCTACCAGGAACGAAGTTCCGGACGGCATAGCTCTGACACTATCGTTTACACCCCCCCACCGACTGTGAGGTAAGGGTTGGACTTTGGGGGCTTACAGTACCAGGTGTTCCCAAGCGGTCCCCCATCTAAGTACTGACCTGGCTCTACGATGCTTAACTTACGGTCAAATCACGCTGAAAACACCGGTTCTCGTTCGATCACCTATACTAAATTAATTATAACTGATTAATATTTTATCCTCCATCTATCACGGATCACGGATCTGCACTCTAAAAGTTTTGCCCTCTCCATGACGCTGAGTTTTTTTTGTTTTTTTTTTATAAGATATCGTCAGTTTGCCAGGCAGAACGTGCCTCCTCTCCACGCCATCGATGCTGTCCAAGCGAAAAACAGAGGCCAATACAACTTGGCACCGGCGTTGTAATAGGAGTTGCCAGAATGAATATTAACATGATAATCTAGTGCCTTAGGGACTCAGGATCCTGATCTGAATGCAGTTGTCCTTCACCTAGACTGGCTACCAACCATGACTACAAAGCCAAGAATGCCTTACTTTGCATCGGCGTCGTCGCAGTAGTTACCAGAACGAAATTGAACATGACAGGTCTTCCGGTTTCTAATTTGGATTCAGAGTTGTCCTTCTTAGAATCCGGTTGTTAACTATGAATACAGAGCACAGAATGCTCTATTTACAAATAATTGAAGGTTTTGAATTCAGACTGATTGACACTCAAGGATATAAAACCCGATATGTCTTGCTATTTTTTTCATAGCTGAGGGGAGAAAAGAATGTAAAAAACTCGACTAGAATTCGAACTCGGCCCTCCGATTCCTCAATCCGAGCCGCAATATATATTTGAAGTTACTAATTCCATATACTGAATTTTCATGATGGATTCAGGATATGTACTACAGCTACTTTCAATTCAATTCAAAATCTCAGTTTCTAATTTGGAAATGTTTATCCTGAGATGATCTTTAAACAGTTGGATATTCGGCCTAATGGTCACTGGTCAGTTTTTAGGCATACGATCAGAATCTATCAATACCTCTTGAACACACAGAGAATTATTGAATTCCCACTAACCTTCGATGCTGTGATTTTCAAAAGGATTCCATGGGCACATACGGCCTGTGCTAGACACAATGTCTACCATCAGTCCGAAACAACTGGGAAATATCACCCGATCTTGACATAGAGTCGATGCCAAATACTTGGGGTCAACCTCTGGATTAAATTATTACTTATCTTCTTTGATTTAATGAACAGGTACTAAGCTAGGATGCTTAAACTATTTAATCTGTTAGTGCATGGTTTTTAATATGGAAGGCTTGGTTTTACGAAAATTTTAACATCCATCAACCCTATGATTAACATATAGTAGGAAGTTAAATCAAGCCCAAAGAGCTAAGCTTTTAAGAAATATTTATGCAATAATGAACAATCTATGCAATATTTGATATATATTTTGAATGTTAAAGACATCTAACCAGGTGTAGGAAGAGGAAAATGAACTCAGATTAGAATCCCTATGAGAAGTAATCAAGCAAACCAAAGAAGACGGGTTAGATTCCCAAAAATAATGAAAAGATGTCAAAGGTCAACAAAGAGCGTAAGCTCATTTCGGTTTAGGGAGTTTAGTATTGTATGTAAAGGAGGTACTGCTATAAACACTGCCAATGCCACTCAAGCTACTGTCTGTTGACCTGAAAATGTCTATTCCAGAGAGTACTCTGCTTCCTAATAGTAACAATAATTAATATAAATGTTCGAAAGACTTATCTTCCGACTTTCAGTTTCACAGATACACCGTTTTCGGCAAGAGGGAAATATTAATGGATTCAATAATCGGAAGAGAAGCATTTTGAAAATTTATCTATGTCTCTCTCTCTCTCTCTCTCTCTCCGTTACTCTCCTCTCCCTCAGTCGTTGCACACAAACAAACACACACACACAGATATATATATATATATATATATATATATATATATATATATATATATATATATATATATATAAAATAAAAACAGACTACTTTAAAAGTTCCATGTAATAAATTATTTCACCACAGCCCTTTTAAGGACTGCGGATCATCAGACTTTACATCCAAACAAAAAATGAAAAGAAAATTTACACATTTTTGACGGGCCGTATTAAACATATGTAAATTACCGAAGTGTTAAGTTAACCGTTTAAATGTGTCAATATCTGCTAACTCACTCATGTCTTCTCTCTCCGCACCTCACTTCCTCTTTTCATTTTTTTGAAAGGGCTGTGGTGAAATAATTTATTACATGGAACCTTAAAGTAGCCTGTTTTTATTTAAATTATTAGCTCTGGATTTACATTGATCTCTCTCTGGATTTTATCCTCCTTACGTTTACCCATACGGATTACCTAGTTTTTCATAAACTATATATATATATATATATATATATATATATATATATATATATATATATATATTGTAATCCGTTGGTATAATCCAGTCGAGTGCTAATAACGCAACATAGAATTTAATTATGTTAAAACTGACTCACAAAAGACCGCTCAATGTTTATTTTCAATAAACAGAGCAAATCTTTTTTAAGATACCTTTTGTAAATGACCATTTTCACTAGCGAGTTTTAATTTTAAAATTCACAGGATTTTTCACACTGTTTATGGTATATTGTTGTGGTGTAGTTCACTACAAACTGATACCAGAAACAGTTTGAAAAATCCTGCGAATGTTAAACTTGATATTCGTTGGTGAAAATGGTCATTTACTAAAGGTATTTTAATTCCAATTGTAAATAAAAAGTATATATATATATACATATATATATATATATATATATATATATAGAGAGAGAGAGAGAGAGAGACAGACAGACAGACAGACAGACAAACAGACAGACACAGATAGATAGATAGATAGATAGATAGATAGATAGATATGTGAGTGTGTCTATGAAATATTTATGCAGTAATGATGTAAATAACAACACAAAGTAGTGCTGATCGCTTTCGTTACAAACACATGGTCAGCTCCAGTGCTTTCCACGGTAGTCTGTTAATCCAACCCCCACACACGTAACACTCTAGATCATAGAGTTGCTTGGCCTGACTACAATTTCAGAAGTTGAATAGCCCTTCTATCTGTTCCGAAACTATAATAATAATTCAATTCATGGCAGGCATCTTCAGAACGAGAAAGTCCCTCTGGTCTGTAGTGGGTTAGTAAATTAGTTTTTTTTTTTTTTTGGAAGACACGCAACCTTCAGGTGATTCTTGGAAATTATGAATTAAAAGGATCTTTTGGCCTATAATGTATATTTCCATTCCTTCTGTTTTCAATTTGAAACGTCACGAACGTCGCTTGCTGCGATGTTCTGTTAACATCTACAATATGGTGGGTCTTCTGTTGAGATATACAATGGAAGATAAAGAATTCACAACTGATCTTCTGGATACATCTCTTGTGTCTACTGCCTTGAATGATGGTTGGGTTTGTGCCAGTCTTGCTCATGTATTACTGCTGATAAATTTAGACATATAGAACTAATCACTGGAAGAATAATCTACTTTAGCTTGATATCTACACCATACAAATTTTATTTCGGAATGATATCTACATAGTAAAACATATTATAACATAAAGTAAATGTAATTAAAATATTAAAAATTCTTCTTTTATTTCTGTTCTACAGATAAACAGTATGTATATCATCCAAAACGTCTACATCGTGCGTATTATATTAAAACAAGGTCCTGCCTTGTTATTTTTCCTTGTAGATAACAAGCCAAAGTAGTAATTATCACTATCGTTACAAACCCTTGGTCACCTCCAGTGCTTTCTACGGTGGACGGTAATACCTCCCCACAACAAACACGTAACACTTTAGATCGTAGAGTTGTTTGGCTTGACTCTACAATTTTAGAAGTTAAATATCCCTGGTGTCAATAACCATTTTCCATTTGGAATGCGCTAAGACAAGTAGTTTGCATTGAGCAACGTAACCGGTGTTGAGCATGACTCAGCAGATATAGACTTTAAATGACGTCACGTTACGGTGGCGTTACCTTCCATTACCCTTCCAAACTACTACCCGTGGCTTTTGTCACGTCAGTGTTCATTTACATTCGTTGCGTTTCAATTGGACACTTTATTCATTTTTTTTCCGCCTAATGTTTTCTTTATTTTTTTTTCAAATTTAACATTCCGTGTGTAATTTTGGGAGGTACATATATTTTATTTGGAGTGCTGAGGGTCGGATTTAATCTATTTTTGAAACAGCAGTGACGTAAATAGTTTTATCATTTCTCTGATAAAGCATTAATGCCACTTGTCGTTCGTCTTCTTCGTCTCTCATTACAGACAGGACCTGAAATGACAGAAACAGTGGGAATTCGAGAAAGCTTTTGAACCCTTGTAATTACCCTCCTCAAAATGCAGCAGTTAAGCTATTTTCAGGCCAAACAGAGAAGGCGGGAAAAAGATAAAAAAATATCTTTCTAAATGTCATTTATGCTTTGCTAGCGTTTATCTGCGAGAATATTATGACAAGTCATCTAATAACAGTGGACGTTATTGAACACAGAATTGGAGATATTTACATTATTTAGCTATGTATGGCGCATACCAAAGAATTTTGAGCGCTTAGATTTAATCTTATTAACAAGATTGGGTACTAGGGTCCCCACTCTATGATACGGATACCCACTCTTTTACATCTCAATTTTTGTAAGGTAGTATTCATATAACATATTTTAGTGTAACCTATTTATGTACAGTAATGGAGCATATGCAATGTAGGCGAACGATTCAACTAGAACAATTGAAAATAAATACAATGTACATCTAAATCCAAATTAGAGACACGTCACGATAGATTATCCGATTTTAAATAAATCAAAAAATCTTCTTCGCCAGTTTTTAACATCAACCTGGGATATAATCCTTTTTTTTTTTGTGAAACTTAGCACCAGCAAAAGAAATTCACGGATTTTGACGAAAAACGAAAGAATCCAGAATAACATCAAAATCCGCTAAATATTTTCCATCCTTTAATAAACAGTTGTGTTTAGTTTAATTTTTAACGTATATAAATGTAGGTAGAAAAAAAAAGCAAATGTTGGTAACATAGCGAGGGTTACAAAGCAGTTTTCCGGGGTCT